TAAGTTCCTTTATGTTAGTTGCTCTCTTTTTTATTCTCTTTGAATTATTTTTCTTATTATTTGCTATATATATGTAAGCCCAAAATGCTTGATTCCATTTTATTTTTTGTTGTCAAAGAGTGATCCCTCCAAGTTTGATACCAAGTGCAATTCTTGATGACTTTGAAGAATACTGGCATAGTCTTTTAACAAAGTGTGTGTGTAGATAAATTTGGGAAATGGTGCAGACTAATCTGTCCTGTCAAAGCGTTACTGAGACTCTGAGAAGTATCTCCAGGAAGAACCCTTTTAAAGTCCATTTTAAAATATTTGCTTGACTACAGAGCCCATATCAGATACTATTTTCTTAGAGAATCTTTATTCGGTCTCAGAAACAAGTTTCCTTCTTTTTTGTGAGGCATTCTCTGCCAGTTCGTAAAGAATTTAGGAATATTAGCTGATTCTAATTATTGAATTTTTTGTCTTCTTTTAGTAAATTAGATTTCTAAGAGAGAAGTAGACTATAATAATTAGTAATTTAAATTATTAGTTTGTAGTTCAAAAGTTAGTAGTTAGTAGTCATTTCTAAAGGTGGTATACTTCTCAAGTGGATTCTCGGACTTCTTTCCAAGAGACATGGAAATCCATGTACACTTTGTGTCCACTTGTAGGTGACAATTTAATATTCTTTCTCCATTATTCTTGTCTCTGTTTTTAACAGCTGTTTTTAAATGCTAGCAATAAGGTGGCAGACAAGAACGAGAAAGACCTTGCCAACAAATTACTGACAGAAATGAATGAGGACCAGGTATCTGCTAAGCCTGCATCTTGTTTCAGCTGAAGTCCAGAATCAGTTAATGAGAGTAACTATTCCTGTACTTTTCTTCCTATATCTTAAAACACACAAACATTATCTTGAAATTAGTTGAAATTGACTAAACAGAGTTGGAAGTAGAGAATCTTCATAAGTTATTTTGAAAATTATTTTAAAATTTCCTTTCATCTAAAAGATACATATATTGAAATCTTGGTGATTCATAAAATTCTGTCTTACATGTATGTAAGTGTGTGTGTATTCTTTTCAGTTTGAGGAGATACAAAGTACAGGAATGGGACCTCATTATCAATGCTGCCCACCTGATGATGATGTCATAATTGCGGGGGTGGGGGCTGGCTTCCCTTTCTAAGCACTGTGGCGTGTTAGGACTTAGTTTGTGTACATGTATGGTCATTTTTAATATCTTGATTCTTTGCTTCTTGTTGACAAATGATGATTATAATCCAATGGACAACCTGAATCTTGGAGGAAGGGAAGGAGATGTCAAACTCTTTGAGTCTTAATTTATCATACATAAAACTTTGTTTTTTTTCGTTGTTAAAAGTACAACTCTACATGGGTATAAACTAGGCAGGAATATAATGCTTATGTTACTTTTCATTGTATCTTAAGAAATTTAGTTTGGGGAGAAAAAAATAAAATAAAACTACATATAAAAGTGTGCTTCATTATTTTTTTTTCCCGAAAGTGGTTGAGAGAGAAATTACGTTGTCTTCTATTAACATTGTCTTAATGTCCAAGTTTATAAATAGAGCTATGACAGTAAAAAGAAATGTGTTAATTTATTATTCTCAGTTCTGTATGTAAATTAGCTATAGTTTTAGGTATCTCTACAAGTTTTACTTCTTAGGGCCTTCTTACATAGATTAAGAAAGCTTGTCTTTGAGGTTTATGTTACAATTCCAAATTGTAGGTGATACTAGACCTTTTTGGTACTTTGACACTTAGTCTTGCATAAAGCGTAAGACAAATCTTTTTCATGGGAAATTCGACTCTATGCAGAGTGTTTAATGTATATTATATGCTTCTTGGAGTCCTGGTGTGGCGCTGGGGGCTAATGCATCGGACTGTAAAGTTCGTTTGAACTGCCAGGTTGGTGGTTCAAGTTCTCATCAGGTGCTCCTTGGAAACCCTGTACAGGGTCACTATGGGTCGGAACCGACTCAACAGCACTTAACAACAGCAGCAACATATGTTTCTTATTTAGTATGTTTGTTATGTATAATGATGCTCACCAGGAAACAAAACCAGGATTTCAGGGTGGTTAAATATGTTGCCAAAGTGTAATAGAGCTAAAGCATAAAACCACAAAAATCCAAGCTTTCCCTGTTACACTAAAATCTTTCTGGTGGGGGAGAGAGAAAATTTTATGTAGACTGAGTAAGTTTCAGGTTATTGATATATTCCTGAAAGCAGATTTTAGGAACTATTAAGCTTTCATAACTTTTTAGTCCTCATGCTATGCTTTCATGGTTGACTAAGTTAGACATAATGTTGTTGTTGTGTGCCATTGAATCATAAGGTTTCTGAGAGCCCCTGATGGGTTTGAGCTGCTGACCTTGTGGTTACAAATCCAGTGCTATCCTACAGTGCCACACCAGGGCTTTTAAGATATAATAGTCAAGTTCAGTTTTTTTATATTGCTGGTGTTATTATTACTTTTTTATTTCAACCGACATAAATAATATTGTCCTGAAATTTAACACATTTCTTTGTAATGAAGTTTAAATAGTACTAGATAAAATGGAGTTAGTTTTTGTTTTTCTTAAAACTTTTTGGTGTTAAACATTACCTTCTCAAAAGCATGACGTTTATTGATGTGATCTTCATTTCCCATATCTGCTTCAATTCGATATTTTTTAGTGAATTGGATATTATTCATTGTTCGTAAGTACACTTAGTTGGTGTTAGATGCACATTCCATTTCAACTTTAACACAGGGTTTGAAAACTAAGTGGGGTTAATTATTTTAGCCATCATATGTAGTAATGAAACTTAGGCTTAGGAAGTTCAATATCATTTTGAAGGGCAATTAAAACATAATAGAATTTTTACTGGTAGACCTCCTTCCCTTCCTCTTGAGATTGTCCATTATCTTCAAAAAGCATGTGTTAAGCTTGTTGTTTATTTTTTAATGACTGTAGTGTTATCCTTATTGACAAGTGGCTTATTTTTTGTTAAGGGTGTATGTTTTTTTTGCAGGTGATAGTGTTTTCAGCAATCCTTTTCATTCTAAGATAAATGTAATGCATGTTAAGTAATTATCTTTTCAGGTTTCAGAACAGAGATTTCCTAACTGAATGAAAATCTTGAACATATTTCTTAAATTTTTTTGCCTTTTTTTCTTCTACTAGGTGTTTCAGGAACAGTTGGATCGTTTGGCTGTATCAACCATTCAGGCTTTGACCGCAGTGATGAACAAATCTCCAGCTGCTAAGGTGAAAGATATATCCCCAGGCTGAAAATGTTATCTTATATGTTTTCGTAGATATATTTTCACTGTACTGATTTCAAAGTAATGTGTGAAAGTATACAAAACATGTGGGTTCATGCCTGAAATAACGAAATAATTCAACAAATAATTCATCGTACTCTAGGAGTAATTTTGATAATTTTTAACCCTATAAACATTGCTTTGGGATTTTTAAAGACATAGATGACTGAAATGCAAACTAAGAGATTCATTAGTATTTGGTCAAAGAATGGACTGGTAGCACTGATGTTGAAATGATCCTTTTAGTAATTCTATGGTTAGTGAGCCTAAAGAATTAAGTATTGTTAAAATTTTCTTCATTAGCAAAGTAAGTATTCTTTCACTATTTTGTCAGTTTGTGACTGTTTAGAATATAAACACTTTTCACATGGGGATAGGACTACCAATTTGGGACTTGAGTTGTCAGAAGGTGAGGTTCTGGGAATTCTGCTTCTTTATTTGGAGTCACTAGTCCTCAGGATTTCCATTTCCTGTTCATTCCCCACCCTGTCCTGTTTTGCTGATTTTGTACTATTGGTATCTCATTGACTAGTTGTAGAGATTAGTGAAATCACCTATGGAGAGTGCCAGGCACATGGTGAGTGCTCAAGGAATGTTAGTGACTGGTTTTTCCACTTTAGCTTCATAGCCATCAACTTCTACTATTTTTTATATTTCTCTCTTCTGGTTGTTGTTAATTGCCGTTGCTTCGGTTCCAACTCATAACAACCTTGTATAGGGTTTCTGAGGAGTGGTTGGTTAGTTTGAACTGCCGACATTATGGTTCAAACTACATTGCGGTCCAGCTCATTAACCCACAGTGCCACACCAGGATTTTTCTGGTACCAGACATGAATTAATTACTCCTTTTTGTCCTAAGCTATGACTTTAGTTGTATTCTCTATTTTTGTTAGCTTGTGTTAATAGACTGTAACTTTTGCTGTAGAGATGTTGCCATGTCTCTTGTTTAACTTTCTACTAAATAGGCTTTTTTATAACTTTGGCACACTTGCTTGGGAATTTAGTCACCATTTATAATAGTTTGTATTCTAAGAGAAAAATTATTTTAAGTATTTGGTTAATGAGTATGATGGACTACCTGTACTGCATTATGAAATCTAAACATAAAATGAAGCCCAAGACTTTTTTAACATGAACATTTTTTACTATGTAATACTATTGCATGATTTAAAATTCAAAAGGTGATTTAAAATTCAAAAGGTGATTTAAAATTTTTGAACAAATTTTTTCATCTTATTGTTGACCCGGTCAACCTGTTTCCCTCTCTAGAGATAACCCATCTGATTAGTCTTGTTCACCTATTCTGATTGTATTGTGAATGCATGTATTACTGCCTAATCTGTGTTAGCTTTTTGGATTATCATTATATTTTAATTTATGGTTTTCTGTATCAGCTTATACCATGTATGTAAAACATGTGACTAAAATGGATGTGATTAACCAGATAACTCAGACGTTTTAAAGATACAAAGACAAGAGAAAAAACTCTTTGCACTGGTTACCACTCAAAATTGCCTGTATTCTTAATCTAGTTTTTGGTTTTTCTGACAGTTTTCCCCCCAAATTTTGCATTTAGAATTCTCCAGCCATTCTTGCTACCCTATACAGGGATCACTATGGGTTGGAACTGACTTGACAACACATAACAACAACAGCAGTACTCTTAGTATTTACCTGATGTGGTGCTATAGGATAAGCACTGGACTGTGAACCACAAAGTTGGTGGTTCAAACCCCACCAGCCGGTCCTCACAAACCCTGTCTGTTCAGGCAATCGATTCGACAGCACTTAACAGCAGCAGCAACAATACTCTTTTTAATTACAAATCAAGTGAAAAGGGTAATCTTGTCAGCCTAATTTAGAAAAGTATAACTTTGTAATATGCAATTGCTATTAATGAAATTTAATTTTCATTTTGTGAGATTGCTTAACTTTGTATTACAGAAAGTATATATAATAATATTTTAAGGTGAAGACATGAGTTGTTGATTTAATGTTAAGTTTAAATATTTAATATTCTAACAAATTCAGTCTTTAAAAATGTGCTTTAATTTGCTGTTTTTCCCTCTTCTTAGGAAGTTTTTAAAGAAAGAATTGGTTATATACATATGTTTGAAGTATTAAAATCCCTGGGTCAGCCACCATTGGAACTACTAAAAGAACTTATGAACATGGTCAGTTTTTTTAGCTTTTTTTTTCAAGAGAATTTGATCATCATATTGACCTTATCAAAGTGATAACTTACCTTTTTTGCTTTTATGTTGCTTTCTAGGCTGTAGAGGGTGACCATACTTCAGTTGGAATTTTGGGCATTAGTAATGTCCAACCTCTCTTGCTTCTTATCCAGTGGCTTCCAGAGCTAGATTCCCATGACCTGCAAATCTTCATCTCTGATTGGTTGAAAAGAATTTGTTGTATTAATAGGCAGAGTCGAACTACTTGTGTCAACGCAAACATGGGAAGTCGAATCATTGAAGCCCTTGATTACCACTCTTCCCTCCATCGAGCTTGTGCTGAGAACTTGATTGCGCTCCTTGGTTCCTTAGGGAGTCAGTCAGTGAGCTCAGAAGAAATTCATCGATTATTAAGATTGCTAAGAGTGGATGAATCTCAGTGCATTCACCCATACACCATTCCTGTGACTCAAGCAATTCTGACAATGGCCCGGAAACAAAGTCTTGAGAGTGCCCTGCAGTATTTTAATTTGTCACATAGTATGGCAGGAATTTCTGTGCCCTCCATACAGAAATGGCCAGGGACTGCCTTTTCCTTCAATGCATGGTTTTGCTTAGATCAAGATCAGTTGACTGTTGGCATTGCCAACAAAGGAGGAAAAAGAAAACAATTGTACAGGTACTGGTATAAGTTATGGAATATAAATGAATACTATTAGAACAATGTATAACCATTGTCCATATGCTTCTTGAACAGGATATTTAAAAATACATTTGGTTTTTAAATATACAGTAATATATATAAGGTCTCTTTATTTAGCTGCACACAGTTTAGTTATAAATGGTTTCACTGCTTTTAAAATAATTGTATCTCAGATATGTTGCTAGTTAAGTTCTAAGGTTCTTTTAAAAACAGTGTTTCTTAAAAGTGATGTGGAAAGGAGAAAAAAGGAATAATGAACTTGAAACTAAATAGTGATTTCTCTGCTCATTGCATGTATTACATATTTATATGTTGTTGTTGCTAAGTGCCACTGAGTCAGTTCCAACTCAAAGCAGTGACTACATATAGGGTTTCTGAAGATTAAAATCTTTGCAGGAGCAGAAAGCCTCATCTTTCTCCCATGGAGTAGCTGGTGAGCTCAAACTGCCAACCTGTGGTTCTCAGTCCACTGCTTAATCTATGGAGCTGCTGTACTTCCCACATATTAATATGAAGGACCAGAAAACCTATGTAGATGCACCTCCAAACTTCAGTATTTATTTTTAATACGTCTTGTAATTTTAGAATACTTATATTAATGTTTTCTATTATGTGCTTATCTAAAGTTAATCTTATTTGAAGAATTTTGAAGATTCAGCGTTTATGCTTTACTATGGTTTGCTTGTAGAATTTCCACTCATAGAGCTACCTTTTGTAGTTTATTAAACTTTAATTCCTAAAAAGGATTTTAAAATCCTCTTTGAGCAAGATTGCACTGTTGTGTGAGAGTATAATTTAGACCACAGGATGATTTGATAATATTTGGTGATTTTTTGTTATTTTGTGTTTCAGTGACATTGAAACTAAAATTGACTTCAAAATTCTCATAATACATCTTTTTGTTAGCTTTTTTACAGGAAGCGGCATAGGTTTTGAAGCTTTCATTACCCATTTGGGTATGTTGGTTGTGGCAGTGTGCACCAAAAGAGAATATGCAACAGTTATGCTTCCTGACCACAGTTTCTGTGATTCCCTTTGGGTAAGGTTGTAGGACATCACTTTCAACTTCTTTCTTTTCTCTAACAAGCTCACAACTTGGTGCTTGTATATTAGAGCTTGTTATCTTTGTTTTGAGATTTGATAAATTTTTATTCAAGTTCTTTTGATACTGAAGTTATCTATAATGAGTATAATTCCATTTACCATCACCATATGGATTCAGCAAATTTAATTTTTAATTTCAGTTTAAAGTGAAAACAAAGGTTGTTAAGAACAAAGCACTTCTTTTATATTCTTAAATGTAAGATGCCTCTCAGAAAAATTGATCCTATGAGACTCATAGATTTGAAAAATTCAGAAAATGTTCTACATTATTATTCTGTACAAATTATTGGGAGTAGACTGAAGTACTTAAATAATACTATAGAAAAAAGCTCTTAGTTTAATTATAATTACATAATTATAATCAGCATTTGTTTACTCTTAATGCTTTTCTGTTCACACACATTATTTGTGGAGTAATAGAAAACATTTGTTATTTCCAAAGATTATTGTAGCTTTTTAAATGTACATTTTACTTCACCAGCACAACATAACCATTGTTCATATGCCTGGAAAAAGACCCTTTGGGCAGAGCCTTGTTTATATCTACGACAATGGACAGCAGAAGGTCTCTGCCCCTCTCAGATTTCCTGCCATGAATGAAGTAAGCACATCTAACCTATCCTTTATTTTTATTATTTTGAGAATTCTTAAAATTTCTCAGTTTAATGTAAAAGATGTGGTCCGTTTTTTCTAAATATGTGCCCATAGATTTTAATGTGAAAATATAGAAAGTTGCCCTGTGTGGGTTAAACACGGGTCAGCTAACCTTAAGGTCAGCAGTTTGAACCCACCAGCTGCTCTCTGAGAGAAAAATGAGGCAGTCTGCTTCTGTGAAGATTTGCAGCCTTGGAAACCCTATGAATTAGTTCTACTCTATCCTAATAGAGTTGCTTTGGGTTGGAATCGACTCAAAGGCAGTGAGTTTGGTTGTATGTTTGGTATATGTTGAAAATTTAGTAAGTTAATATTGAATTCTGTTAGTGTCTCATCATTAGATGAAGTCACACAACATGTAGTAAAGGAAGACAATTCAAGAGAGAGTTACAAATGGAATTAAAGGATTTGGTAAAAGACCTATAGTAGGCTAGTCAAAAATATGTACTAACTGGACTTGTGAATGTAAGTCCCCATGGCTCTGAGACCAGAAGAGCTGTATGGGGCCCACCTACTGCCTGTTCTGAAAGAGATCAGATTAGAAGGTCCCGAAAAGAGTAGGTAAAAAAGTGAAACAAAACTCAAAATTATAAAAAAAGCCATAAACTTACTGGTCAGAAAGAGATGGGAGGAATCTGAGATTGTGGTTCTTGGCCACACTTCAGGTCTGGAATTGAACTCACCTTGTGGCCCAATTTTCACCCAAGTAGTAAATAGGTATATAAGGGAGGTAAGAACACTGATCAGGAATGCTTACCATGGAATGGTCAGAAATTCAGGATCAAAAGGACAACATTTCCCTAATGCCAAAGTTCAGCAGGGTTTGGAAGGAGGGTGGAATGAAAATAAGAACCACAGAGAGGAAGTGGGATAACTGTTGTTAAATGGAGAAAACTGCATTTATTGAGATGAAGCAAGGTGTATGATTGGTTAAATGTTAAGCTGATGATCTGTTGTATAAACCTTCACTCAATTCATAATAAAAAGTCCTCTCCCCACCCCAGAACAATTTAATAGATCAGACCAAAGGATCATTATTGCTCATGCTCCTGAAATATACAGTATACTTAGAGTGTTATGATGGATTCTTCTCCATTTTCACTGAATTTGAGACATTATATTATAGTTATCTTTGTTGTTGGCATCTGTCTTTAAAGTGTTAAAGAGCAAAGATATCCCTTTGAAGACTAAAGTGTATCTGACCTGTTTTCAATCAAGTATCATGGACTGCCAGAGGAAGGAACAATCTTTCTGGGTAGAAATACAGCCAGAAGATTTCTTAAAAGTGAGCATGGTGAGACTTCATCTGTTGTACTTTCAGACATGGTATTAGTAGGAACCAGTCCCTTGAAAATGACATTATGCTTGGTAAAGTAGAGGGTCAGTGAAAAAGAGGAAGACCCCCCCCCCCAATGAAATGGATGGACATAGTGGCTACAGCAACAAGTTCAAATTTAAACATTTATGAAGATGGCATGGGACCAGGCAATGTTCTGTTCTATTGTGCATAGGGTTTTGCTATATATAAGTAGGAGACAAATCAGTGGTACCTAGCAACAACTCTCCAGTTGATTCCAACTCATGCAACTCATTGTGTGTAGGGTAGAACTGCACCATAGGGTTTTCAAGTCTGTAACCTTTCAGAAGCAGATAGCCAAGCCTGCCTTTCAGTGCGTCTCTGGGTGGGTTTCAACTACTAGTCCAGCACTAATCATTTGCACTGACTAGGGGTTTTCAGAGATGTTTAAACATTGTGAAGTTTTTGGGTAATTCTGAGATCAACTTTTCCTGAAGATAAGGGAATGGATTAGGTTATTTCTCAAATCTATCCACTGTTCTATTAATTTCTTGTGTTCATCTTGACCATTTTAGAATAACTTTAACATTTTTATATTGATGTTTGTAATTCTCAGTTTATAAACTTTAAAGGAATAAAGAATTTTCTCTTTTAGAATACATAAAAGTTTAATACATTTTAAATGCATGCACTCATTAAAAATTTTTAAATTCATAAAAAGAATGAGTTATAAAAGCAATCTATTCAAACTCACCTGGACAAAAGTAACTTCTGTAATGATTTCTTTTTTGTTGTTTTTCTTAAATGATTTATTGTGAATTATGTGACAGTTTACATGGGAGAACATTAGTTTTACATTCATTCTATCGTATATCGTCTCATTGCCATGGTTACAATCCCCTCCATGCAATCCTTCCCCCCGTACCCCCCAGGTCTTCAGCTCATAGTCGCTCTCCCTCTCTGGGTCTAGAGTTTCCAGCTGCTCCATAGCTCCACATCATCATCTCTGGCTCCATTTCAGGCATCACTGCTTCTCTGGGTAGGGTCCTGCTCTCTGCTCTTCTCCCTTGATGGTTGTAATGATTTCTTATGTGTATACTTATACACATTAGAGATATATACAACATTATCCAGTAAAAATCAACCTTCCAATATTATTTTCAACATAGTTATTTGCTTTATTTTATTTATAATTTCATGTTAAATATGAGGATACACATATAACTAAAATTATGTTAATTTCTGTTTCTTTTTTTCATTTCTTAATTTTTAGCCTTTTACTTCCTGTTGCATTGGGTCTGCTGGACAAAGAACCACAACTCCCCCGCCATCTCAAATCCCAGATCCACCATTTTCTTCTCCCATCATCCCACATCGGACTTCATTTGGTGGGATCCTTTCATCAGCCTCCTGGGGAGGAACAAGTGAAAAATCAAAATCAGTTACTAAATTGATATCAGCTGGAACCCAAGACAGTGAATGGGGATGTCCCACATCTTTGGAAGGTCAGCTAGGGTCTGTTATCATTTTTTATGAAGCACTACAACCTACTCACGTGAAAACACTATATTTGGCAGGTGAGCATGGGTTGTCACACAGTTTAAGTAAAGTTAAATGTGATTTTTTTCTTTTGCCTAGACAAGATTTTTTTCTTCATCTGAAAAATTCATCTGATCTGAATAGTATATTTGTTTTAATTGAAACTGAAGATGAAGAAAAAACTCCTACCACAAACCATACTGTTTTTTGTAAGCATAACTAAAACAGGTGTATGGGTTTTTCTTTTGTAAAAGGGATTATTTCAAATACTTTCTATGATACTACCAATAATTCTTTGACCAATTTTAGTAAATTGATGAAACAGTATATAAGCCCATCTTCATGAGAAATCGTGGGATGGATTATAAACTCATATGAATCTTGTACCCACAGGTGTCATTTTTATAACTGATATATTTTATAACGGATATGTAATTCATCATTAATATACCTGAGGAATTCATGAGGCTAGTAGAATTAACCATCCTTAGATTACATATTTTGCTTTCTTTTTTCTTTTTGCTGTGGTTTTAAAGATATATGCTAAGTTTCATTTGTTGTTGATATTGGTAGGTGCCGTATAGTTGATTCTACCATATAGTGACCCTGTGTAAACAGAATGAAACACTGCCTAGTCCTGTGCTATCCTCACAACCATTGTTATTGTTTGAGCCCATTCTTGCAGCCACTCTGTCAATATATTTCAGTGAGGGTCTTCCTCTTTTTCACTGACCCTCTACTTTACCAAACATGATGTCTTTCTCCATTAGATAACATGTTATCAGGAGATAACATGTTCAAAGTATGTGTGACAAAGTCTCACCATCCTTACTTCTAAGAAACATTATGGCTCTACTTCTCCAAAACAGATTTATTCTTTACCAACACCATAATTCAAATGCATCAATTCTTCTCCAGTCTTCCTTTTTTATTACCCAATTTACATGTTCATATGCAACAATATGAAAATACCATGGCTTGGGATAGGTACACATTAGTCCTCAAAGTGACATATCTTTACTCTTTAACACTCTAACGAGGTTGTGTGCAGCAGATTGATTTGCTCAGTGCAGTAAGTCATAGGATTTCCTGATTGGTATTTCAATGGCTGTTGATTTGTGAATCCAAGTAAAATGAAATTCTTGACAACTCCAATATATCCTCCACTTATGATGTTCCTTATTGGTCCAGTTGTGAGATTTTTTTTTTCTGTATGTTAAAGTATAATTTATACTGAAATAGTCTTTAATCTTTACCAGTAAGTGCTCCAAGTCCTTTTCGCTTTCAGCAAGCAAAGTTATGCCATCTGTATATCATAGGTTCTGAGGGAGCCTCCCTCCAAATCTGATGTCTTGTTCTTCATGTAGTGCAGCTCCTTGGAGTGTTTGCTTAGCATACGGTAGGATCAGTATGGTGAAGCATACACACCGGACACACACCTTTCTTGATTTTAAACTATGCAGTATCCCCTTGTTCTGTTCAAACAACTGCTTCTTTGTCTATATACAAGTTCTGCATGAGTAAAATTAAATGTTCCGGAATTCCTATTCTTTATGTTATGATCCACATAGTCAAGTGTCTTTGCATAGTCAATAAGACACTATTAAAAATATATTTCTGGTATTTGCTGCTTTCAATGAAGATCTGTCTGACATCATCAGTGATATATCTCCTTCTAGATCTCTTCTGAGTCTGGCTTGAGTTTTTGTTAGTACTTTTTTGATGTATTTCTAAAATGATTTTTAAATTATCTTCAGCATAGTTTTGCTTGCATTGGATATTAATGATATTGTTCAATAATTCCTATATTTTCTTGGGTCATCTTTCTTTGGAATGAGCACAAATATGAATCTCTTTCAGTTGATTGGCCAAGTAACCGGCTGTCTTACTGATTTCTTGGCTTAGATGTGTGAACACTTTTTAATTACATCTGTTTGTTGAAACATCTCAGTTGGTACTCTTTCCATTTCTGAAGCCTTGTTTTTTGCCAGTGCCCTCAGTGTGCAGCTTGTGCTTCTTCCTTCAGTGCCATCCATTATTGATTATATGCTACCTCCTGAAATGGTTGAACAATCAATTCTTTGTCTGACCCTTTGTAGTCCTTCCATTTTCTTTTTATGCTTCATCTGTTGGTCAGTATTTTGCCCATTGTCATTGTTTTTTGGTGCTGCTGAGTTGATTCCACTCATTGCAACCCTGTGTACAACAGAACACAGCACTGCCCAGTCCTGAGCCATCCTTACAATCTTTATTGTGTTTGAACTTAATGATCTGGCCACTGTGTCAGTCCATCTTGTTGAGGGTCTTTCTCTTTTTTGTTCTTTTGCAAGCATGATGTCATTCTCCAGGGACTGTCTTTTCTGATGACATGTCCAAAGTATGTGAGATGAAGTCTTGCCATCATTGTTTCTCAGGAGCATTCTGGCTATGCTTCTTCCAACACATATTTGTTCATTCTGCTAGCTGTCCATGGTATATTTAATATTCTCCAATACCATAATTCAAAGGCATCACTTCTTATGTATTCCTTATTTATTATCTAACTTTTGCGTGAATATGAGATGACGGATATTTTGCCTATAGTATTTCATCTCTGGGATTGAATGTGTTCTTCAGTTCTCTGAACTTAAGAAATATTGAGCATGCATTTCCCTTCATTTTCTACCTCCAGTTCATTGTACTTTTCAGTATAATGTTTTCCTGAGCCACGTTTAAAATCTTCTGATGAGTTTTTTTACTTCATCATTTTTTCCTTTCTCTTTAGCTATTCGGCATTCAAGAGCAAGTTTCAAGGGTCTCTTCTGACATTTATTTTGAATTTTCTTTCCTGTCACTTGTGTGTGAGAGAGAAATATTGTTTTTTATTTGACACAAGAGTACAGTCTGTATTTCTAATGCCCTTCCCTCCTTCCATCAAGCTCAAATGGAAAGAAATCGATTAACACACAGAAAGGGACTGTACACCCACAGGTTTAAACATTTTTTTGTATAGAAGGGAGTGGGATATAGAGAGTGCAGTGGAATTTTAGGGGTAGTACCAAAGCTGTCTAAGGAGCCCTGATGGCGTAGTGGGCTGTGCATTTGGCTGCTATCCACAAGATCAGCAGTTCAAATCTACCAGTTACTCTACAGGAGAAAGATGAGACATTCTGTTCCCATATAGATTTACAGCCTTGGAAACCCTACACAGGGTTTTTATGAGTTGGAACTGATTTGACGGCACGCAGAAGCAGCAGCAAAACCACAGGAAGGGAGTGTGTGTCCATGGATTGTTGCTGGCACCACGGATAGAGGACACTGTAGTATAAAAGGAATGGTTGCACACAGGCAGTCTGGTATCAAATGAAGAAAAGTAGGACTCACATCTGCTCTTTCCTATCTTTTTAATGACCTTTTGCTTTCTTCATGAATAAAGTCCTTAGTATCATCCTACAGTTCATCTTGTCTGTGGTCATTGGTGTTTAATGACTTGAATCTGTTTTTGAGATGGTCTCTAAATTCAGGTGGGATATATATGAAGGAGCTCTGGTAACATAGTGGTTTTGAATTGGGCTGCACAATGTCAGCAGTTTGAAACTACCAGCTGCTTTGTGGGAGAAAGATGAGGCTTTCTGCTCCTGTAAAGATTTACAGCCTCAGAAACCCTGTTCAGGGTCGCTATGGGTCAGAACTGACTCAACGGCATTTAACAACATATTCAAGGTCATCCTTTAGCTCTTGCAAACTTAGTTTAATTATCTTCAGCTTCAACTTGAACTAGGATATGAGCAGTTGCATTTGGATATGTTAGGATATGTTCCACAGGTAACTCCTATTTTTTTTCTGATTGTGAAGTGGAACGTCATTGTTGTCTATTTCCATGTTGTTGTTAAGTGTTGTCAAATCTTTTCTGATTTGTAATGACCCTGTATAGGGTTTCCAAGGTGAGTTTGAACTACTGACCTTGCAGTACTTATCCTACAGTGCCACACCAGGACTCTCTTTCCGTAAATGTAATCAGTTTAATTCTTAGGTATTTCATCTGGTGAGGCCCATGTGTATAGTTGCCATTTATGTTGAGTAGTATTTCCAGCAAATAGACCATTGGTCTCACAAAATTCTGTCATATAAAGTCTGGTATTATTCTCTCATCAAGGCTATAGTTTCAACTACTGATGCTTCTTTTTTGTTTCCAACTTCCACATTTCAATCATCAGTAATTATAAATGCATCTTGATAATATATTTGATCAATTTCATATTGCAACACTTGGTAAAAATTTTCAGTTTCTTTATCTTTGGCATTAATGGTTGGTGTGTACATTTGAGTAATGGTTGTATTAGGCTGGTTTTCCTTGAAGTTGTATGGGTATTAGCCTATCACTGACAGTGTTGTATTTCTATACAGATCTTGAAACGTTCTTTTTGCATTATCAGTGTTACATTGTTCCTTTCAATTTGTCATTCCCAACATAGTAAATCATACGATTGTCCAATTGTCCAATTCAAAATAGCCACTGCCAGTACATTTCAGCTCACTAATTAATGCCTAGGACATTGATCTCTAAGTGTTACATTTCATTTCTGATTCCTTTTAATTCTTCTTGATTCATACTTTATACATTTCACATCCTCAGTATTAATGGATATTTGCATTTGTTTCTTTTCATGTTGAGTTGTGGCACTTCACCTAAGTTTTACTCCATACACATTAAGGTTGATCCTACTTTGAGGAAGCAGCTGTCCTTCAGTCATATTTTGGGTGCCTTCCAACCTTAGAGGATCATCTTCTAGTACTATACCAGACAATGTTCTGCTGTTACCCTTAAGGTTTCCACTGGCCAGTTTCTTCAGAATTAGATCTTTAGGTTTTTCCCAGACTGTTTCAATTTGGAAGCTCCACTGAAACCTGTCGACTTTGGTATTATCTGCTGGTATTTGAAATACCAGTGGCATAGCTTCCAGCATCACAGAAACATGCAAGCCACACCAGTGTGACAAATTAACAGAAGAATGATGGAGTTATTATTACTGGATGCTAACCACTTTGGATAATTTCCAGGATAGGTATTCAAAGTATGTGGATGTTTTTATGACTCTCACTACATGTTACATTATCAGTACCTAATTATAAATCTACCAGTAACACAGAAGTGAATCAATTTAACCACAGTCTCAATAAGATGGGTGGATAGCAGTACTTCCATTGTTAGAACTAAAGTGAAACCTTGTTTTAATTTGTCTTTGAATTTTAATAGCGTCACGATTTTGTTTCTCCTCATTTACTGTTCCATTTTTGTGGTATTCCATTTTTGTGGTATCTACTCACCCTTTTAAGGGGCTCTGGTAGTGTAGTGGTTACAAATCGGGCTGCTAATCTCAGGGACAGCAGTTCTAAACTACCAGCTCTTCCGTGGGAGAAAGATGAGGCTTTCTGGTCCCATAAAGATTTACAGCCTTGGAAACGGCACATAACAACAACAATATATTCACCCTATTACTTGATTGTCTTATTTTATCTTATAAATATGAATTATATTATGTATTATAGACTGAAGTTCTGGTGTGGTGCTGTGGGTTAATGCATTGGACCGCTAGGTCAATTTGAACTGCAGGCTCACTCTCTGCTCCTGAAAACTCTATGCAGGGTCACGATGCGTCAGAACTGACTCAGTGGCACTTAAGAACAACATTATTCATAGATTAATAAGAGAACTTTGTTATATTTCATATTGGTATGCTTTTTAGTTTTATATAAAATTTCCTATCTATAGGAGAAGTTGACCTCCAAATTTTCATAGATTTTTATAGGCTGGCAAACCTTTTATGCTAGATAAATAGGATTTTAAGCATGAGATGTTATTGTGGGTAATATAAGAATTAAATACATTTTATCCAGTACGTTTTAACTATGTTATTTGACTCCCCATTGTTGTTAAGTGCTGTTGAATCTGTTTTGACTCATAGTAACCCTGTATAGGGTTTCCAAGGAGCAACTGGTGGGTTTGAACCGCCATCCTCGTGATTAGGAGTGCAGTGCTTATCCTACAGTGCCATACCAGGTCCCCTATTTGAGTCAGTAAATACAGTTTAATTTAAAATGGAATAGAAATTCAGTTTCATTGTGTTAGGATTACACAGAATCTAGAAAGCCATATCCGTTAAATGATGTATGCCTGTTTAAATGATTTTCAGGTCCAAACTGTTTAAGCCCTTGGAAATGCCAAGAGTCTGATGTGGCTGACCTGCCTGGTAATGTCCTCCTTCACTACACACCAAAGGTCAGAGTAAATTCCTGGACTTTGCTTTTAGTTTTAACTGCTGTCAACTAAACTTGTTTTTTATTCTTTAGTCATTTCAGTCTGTCATTGAGAGGAAGATAAGGATCTTGAATTGCCGTTGAAAAATATTTTCAAATAAAGATGGGAAGGAGCAAAATTAGATTCATTTCCTTGACTAGGACTCAGATGCAACCACATGGAACTCTTGTATATCTTCCTAAGAGTATTACTAAGAATAGTTGTAGCCGAAATTTGTAATAATGAATTGACTTTAGTAAATAACACATCTTAAATGCCATGCTGTTGGTCACTCCGCTAGAGGTCTTCCGGCCCTGGCTCCCTGCGCTTCTGCCACTGCCCACACCAGAGCTCAGTTCCCCTCAAATTATAAAAGCAGGAAAACTCAAGACAAAGAAAACCAATAAGGCTAGTGATTTCAACGACATGGCAAATTGGCCAACACCAAGCGAATTAGTAAACACTGTGGAGGATGTCAGAGTGTCATAAGCCAAGGAAATAAGAAACCACAAAATAAAAAAGAAAGAGAAGAGAAGGTTGAAAAGAAAAACAATGCAGAGCACAGAAAAAAGCTGAGAAACAAAATTAGATTGTCCTGGTGAAAATGTCAGTGAAGATGAGGTTCAGTCAAGTAATCAGTGAAAGAGAGCTAATAAGCACAAGTGGGTACCACTCCACTTAGATTATGTAAGACCAGATTGTCAAGAAAGAACAGGATTACGGAACAGCTCAACATGTCAACTTGAAGCACATAAAACAACACATAACAGTAGGACAAATGATACACGAAGTTGAAGACGACATAGAGAAAAGCAAGATTTTCAAGATGAAGTTTCCAGTGTGAGAAGTGAGGGTGGTAATATCCAAGGTTTCATTAGAGGACGGGGAAGAGGACGAGGTAGACGAAATCCTTGATTGAATTTTGATTATTCGTATGGTTATCGAGAACATGTTGAAAAGGACGGATCAACCATTTCAAACAGAACTTAATACCAGTATAATGTATTACTATGATTATGGTACAGGTGTACAGGTGTATCCTGTGGAAGAAGCATTGCTTAAAAAGTGTATTAAGTGCCAAATTGAATATTACTTCACTATAGAAAACTTGGAGCGAGATTTCTTTCTTAGAAGAAAGATGGATGAACAAGGTTTCTTCCCTATTTCCTTCATTGCTGGTTTCCACCATGTTCAAGTTCTCACTACAAATATTAATCTCATTAATATTAATGATAGTACAAAAGTATAAAAGGTAGTACAAAAGTGGAAATTATGGATGAGAAGATGGGAAAAAAGATAGAATCAGAAATATGGCGAATTCCTGGCCTTCCTCCACATAGAATGCCACAAACAGACTTCTCTCAACTCACTGATTGCTCAGAGATTTTACCATACCAAGCCTTTGCCTCACTTATAATCAGGGGGATTGATGCTTTTGGATGTCATTTGATTAGAATATGCAATGGAATAGGCAAATCATTGAAATGTCATATAAAAATGGAGCAGTTGTGCTGCAGAAATGGAAGTGAATAGGACTGTCTTCTGTGTAAGAATGTCTCCCCCCCAACTCCTTGAGAAGGAAGTAGTTGGGCCAGCACTGCAGTGGAAGTAGTCACCTTTGTGATGAGATGATGAGAGACAGACAAGAGCACTGTTATTGTTTTATAGGAGCTGCCCATTTGTGTGTAACTGCCCTGAACTGCATGGGGGCTAATTTTATTTACAGTGAGAAGCTTATTATCATCCTGGAAATATTGCAAGACTCTTTTACTTCCAGAGTTGTGTACATTAACTATACAGAAATAGAATTGAATGACATTTCCCAGAATTTTAGATCCTTTCTGTTTGATTTGCCCTTTAGTATATAGTGTACATTACATAATGCACATATTGTCACAATATTTCTCATGGACTCTAAGATTTCTTAATGTGGACTTTAAGGGGTAAGATATTTAAGAAATGAACGAGGGTATATTTTTCTTTACTTGTCCAAATATATTTTTGATATATCAGCATAGAGAAATGACCATCAATAAAAAGCACTGATGATGAAAAAAAAGAAAAATACCATGCTGTCTGATAGGATAGTATCCATACTCTTACAGCAGGACCAGTTGCTACCACTATTATTCAAATTTACATACCAACCACTAAAGCCAGCAATGATGACATTGAAGAATTCTACCAACTTCCTCAGTCTGAAATTGATCAAACATGCAATCAAGATGTATTGATAATTACTAGTAATTGTACTGCGAAGGTTGGAAACTGGGTAGAAGGATCAGAAGTTGGAGAATATGGCCTTAGTGATGATGCTGGAGATCATAATGAGGTAGAATTTTGCAAGATCAATGTCTTATTCATTGCAAATACCTTTTTTAATCAACATAAAAGACATGTGGACTTCACCAGATGGAACACACAGAAATCAAATTGACTACATCTGTGGGAAGAGACTGTGGAAAAGCTCCAAAGATAAGGCCAGCAGCAGACTATGGAACAGACCGTCAATTGCTGATATGCAAGTTCAGGCTGAAGCAGAAGAAAATTAAAACAAGTCCACAAGAGCCAAAATATGACCTTGAACATTTCCCACCTGAATTTAGAGATCATCTGAAGAACAGATTTGATACAGTAGATGTTAATGATTGAAGACCTGAAGAGTTGTGGGATGATATCAAGAACATCATACACGAAGAAAGCAAAAGATCATTAGAAAGACAGGAAAGATGAAAATGGATGTCAGAAGAGACTATGAAACTTGCTTTCTAGCATAGAGATACTAAAGCAAATGGAAAAAAATGAACAAGAAAAATTGCTGAACAGAGAATTTCATAGGACAGCTCAAGAAGACAAAGTTAAGTTTTATAATGAAATGTACAAAGGCCTGCATGGAGTTAGAAAGCCAAAAGGCAAGAACATATTTGTCATTTCTCAAACTGAAGGAAAAAAAGCAAGCCTTGGGTTGTATTATTGTACGATTCTGTGGCAAAATGGAGTCTTGGTGTAGTGATATAGAATAAGCACTGGACTGCTAACTGCAAGGTTCTTGATTCAGCCATTTCAAGAGGTAGTATATGAAGCCCAAGCTACATTGAAGGCATTGACAAAGAACAAGGCTCCAGGGATTGATGGAATACAAACTAAAATCTTACAACAAACCGATGCAGCCCTAGAAGCTCTCAGTCATCTATGCCAAGAAATTTGGAAGATAGCTACCTGTCCAACTGATTGGAAGAGTTCCATATTTATGCCCATTCCAAAGAGAGGTGACCCAATGGAATGTGGAAGTCTTCAAACAGTACTTTCAATATCCCATGCAATTAAAGTTTTGATGAAGATCATTAAACAGCTGTAGCAGTACATTGACAGGGAACTGCCAGAGGTTCAAGCCGCATTTAGAGGATGGCATGTGGAACAAGGGAGATCACTGTTGATGTCAGATGGATCTTGCCTGAAAGCAGAGAATACCAGAAAGATGCCTGCTTGTGCTTTATTGACTATTCAGAGGCATTTGAAACGTGTGGATCATGACAACCTATGGATAACAATGCAAAGAATGGGCATTCCAGAACTCTTCATTATGCTCATGGGAACCTATTCATAGACCAAGAGGCGGTCATTTGAATAAAAAAAGGGAATACTGAATGGTTTAGAATCAGGAAAGGGTTGCATTCTTTCACCATACTTGCTAAATCTATATGCTAAGCAAAAAACCCAAGAAGGTGGATTATATGAAGAAGAACATGGCATCAGGATTAAAGGAAGACTAATTAACCACTTTATCAACAGAGAAAAAAATTGAAGTTGTCAAGGACTTCATTTTTCTTGAATCAGCTATATCAACACTCGTGGAAGCAGCAGTCAAGAAATTAAACAATGTATTGCTTTAGGCGAATCTGCTACAAGTTTAAGGACTAAGGCACAGCTAAACCAAATAATAGTATTTTCAGTAGCCTCAGATACATGTGAAAGTTGGACTGTAAAAGAATTTGATGCGTTGCAGTTGGAATTGGAGAAGAATTTTTAAAGCACCTTGGACTCCCAGAGAACAAACAGGTCTGTGTTGGAAAAAGTACAGCTGGAAAGCTTTTTAGAAGCCGGGATGGCAAGACTTCATTTCTCATCCTTCATACATGTTATCAGGAGGGATCAGTCCCTGGAGAAGGACATCATGCTTGGTAAAGTGGTAGTTCAGCGAAAAAGAGGAAGATGCCCCAACGAGATGGATTAGCCCAGTGACAGCAGCATTGGGCTCATATAGCAACAATTGTGAGGATGGTGCAGGACCAGGCAGTGTACAATTCTGTTGTGCATAGGGTTGCTGTGAGTTAAGAGATGACTCAATGGCACCTATTAACAAATGAAACATATTCTTTTAGTTTATTAGATGAGAACTTGAAGCAATGTTGTGTGTAACTTTGTGTGTGTGTGTGTGTGTTTTTTAATAAGCTAATGAAAGTAAAACTTTCATTAGCTTCAGAAAGACAAAAAAGAAAGTGTGAATACTATGCGCAGTGCTTTTTTCCTAAAGGGCTTATGTAGCATCACTAATTAAGGTCAGCAAGACTAAGGGAACTTAAGTAGAGTGGAGGAGAAGTTGAGTAAAAGTTAAAGGGTAGAAAAGGGGGAAGAAAAGGAAGGATAGCATAAGGAACAATATCAGTTGTTTTCATTATAGTTAATAATATGTGACCCAGAAAATGCTTTAGTTGTATGAAACTATACATTATAGAATATCTTTTTGTAATCTAGCCAAATGATAAATGATTTCTTTGAATATTTATTTATTATTATGTTTGACCTAATCAAATTTTTCTTACAAGTTGTGTTTTTCCCCAACTTTTTTGGGTAAATTTCAAACTTAAAAGTGAAACAATAATAAGGTGAAATCTGTATATTCTACAGATTTACATATTAACATCAATTATTAGCAGTTTTTCATTTTTCATGTGTAGGATGTGATTAATCATCAATGTGTA